GACGCTTGACAGGGTGGCGTTCAATTCTATGGTAACATAGAAACCTGCACATAAACAAGTGAATCGGATAAGAAAAATCCTAGCTAAACAGAACATGCCCGGATCCATCTCTTTAAAGAAACTCGACGGAAGCTACTCAACATCGCCGGACGAAATCCAACGCATCCTAATTGAAACGCACTTCCCAGGTTTCTGCATAACTCAGGGGGTCAACCGGCATGAAGATGCACTGACACCAACAGCAGAAGACTGAAATTTAGAGAGTGTTAACGATCGACAAAATCCATTGGGCCATTCAGTTTCCTCTCCTACAAGGCGGCAGGATTCCCGGCACTCCTACAGTGGGAGGGGGGGGGGAGGGTTGTTTTCAGCACAAAACTCCAGCTATCCTCCGAGGTAAAATATTTAGGGCTCACTTTGGATAGTAAATTTAAGTGGAATAAATATATAGAAAATAAAATCAACAACGCTAGTATAACTTTCTGACAATTCAGAAACATGGTTTGTAAAAGAAGGGGTCTGACGCCAAAAATCATACTGTTGCTATACAAAAATGTAATTCGGCCCATGATCACATACGGCGCTCTGGTATGGAGGACGAAAACGACGATGAAACCAAATGAAGCCACCACATAAAGAAGCTTCAGCGTTATCAGAGACTGGCACTGTCTTGTAATAATCATTGTGAAAACGTATGAGAGTGAAAGAGACAGATAGAGTTTAAAGTTGGTTTAGAAACAAGTTATCGAAGAAATTCTGAGATAGAAAGATATAAGACGTTAAAACGAATTTCTTTATATGCTTCACTTGTTTTGGACCTGAACCGTGATTGGTCAGTTTATTATTAAGCGTGCGATATGATCATGAAAAAATATTTAAAAAGAGATTGTAAATTGCAGTTCTATTCGTCAGAGTTCCAGTAGCAGTCACCGAAGTACACCTTCAGGTCATTTCATCAAATCCGGAGGTAAGGTCTCATCATAACTAACAAAACCAGCCCAAACTCGGCGCACCTAGTTCTACTCGTCGAGTTCTAGCAGCATTCACCGAAGTACACCTTCGGTCACTTCTCAAGTACGGAGGAAAGGTGTCAATATAACTATCAAAATGAGCCCAAACTCAGCACACCTATTCCTACTCGTCGAGGAGTTGCAGTATTCACTCCATAAAGTCCAAGACGTATTGCATGCCTTAAGCCAAAGCGCAAGGTATGTTCTACTATCGCCTAAAAATTAAGATTCCAATGTTTTATCGAATAGAATCGTATCTAACAATCATATTATACATATAAATTATATAAAAAGCACATTGTTAGAAAGATAAATGATTGTTAAACTTATTAATATTTTTTTTAAATCGTTTAATTGTTATTTCTAAATAAAAAAGGGGTTTTAGTGGCTTATGGTGTGTATTTATCATGTCCCCAAGGCTTGTAAACACGATAACTTTTGAAAATATTAATTGTTTAACTCAATCTATTCTTTAATCTCTTCATCTATCATGTAGGAAGCCACTGAATGTAAATGGCAGTGTAATTTTGTTTTGTTAAGCTATAATTAATTTTTTTCTGCTCCAAAATGGCGAAATTTTCGTTGATTTGGTAGCCTTGTATGTAAATTATTTCTGTAAATAGGGAGCTACAGCCACAGAGTAGTTTACTTACTCACTCAGTTTCGCATAGATAATATTCTATATAGGGTACAGTTTGGCATCAGTCGCCGTCGTGAGTGGACATTGTTTCGGTTGTTTGCAGCGGCTCAAAAAGATCGCTGTACAAATTCGTATAACCAAATTTCTTCAATACATGATTATAATAATAATAAGAGATTTTTTTTTTATTACAATATTTTCAAAGCACAGAATAAATAATAGTAGTACGTACTAAAAGTAAGTAGTATCAATTTTTTGTCATGGGTGCAATTTCATGGTTTTCGATGGTGCTGAAACCGAAAGGGTTGTTGAAATGTAAATCCAAGATGGCGGCCGCAATAGGTATCAATTTTTTCATCATGGGTGTCATTTTCATGGTTTTCGAGGGTGCTGAAGCCGATAGTGCTGTCAAAATGTAAATCCAAGATGGCGGCTGAATTAGGTACCAATTTTTTCATCATGGGTGTCATTTTCATAGGTTCGAGAGAGTTGAAGTCGATAGTGCTGTCGAAATGTAAATCCAAGGTGGCGGCTGCAATAGGTATATTTTTTTCATCATGGGTGTCATTTTCATGGTTTTCGAGGGTTTTGAAGCCGATAGTGCTGTCGAAATGTAAATCCAAGATGGCGGCTGAAGTAGGTACCAATTTTTTCATCATGGGTGTCATTTTCATGGTTTTCGATGGAGTTGAAGCCGATAGTGCTGTCGAAATGTAAATCCAAGATGACGGCTGCAATAGATATCAATAATATTTCATCTTGGGTGTCATTTTCATGGTTTTCGAGGGTGTTGGCGGCTGCAATAGGTATCAATATTTTCATCATGGGTGTTATTTTCATGGTTTTCGAGAGAGTTGAAGCCGATAGTGCTTTCGAAATGTAAATCCAAGATGGCGGCTGCAATAGATATCAATTTTTTCATCATGGGTGTCATTCTCATGGTTTTCGCGGGTGTTGAAGCCGATAGTGCTGTCGAAATGTAAATCCAAGGTGGCGGCTGCAATTGGTATCAATTTTTTCATTACGGGTGTCATTTTCATGGGTTTCGAGGGTGTCGAAGCCGATAGTGCTGTCGAAATATAAATCCAAGATGGCGGCTGAATTAGGTACCAATTTTTTCCTCATGGGTGTCATTTTCATGGCTTTCGAGGGTGTTGAAGCCGATAGTGCTGTCGAAATGTATTTAGAGTACTTTAAAAATTTCCCTATAATCATGTTATACGTAATTTTTTTAATGCGCTTAAGGCATGCCTAATTGGATTTACTAATTTTATTTAAGTATATTTATACATAAATCCTACTTACTTTTAGCGAAACAAAATATTGTAAGAAAAATCTGTGATTTTAAAAATAATAATATAGTTGCGCGCCACTATAAATGTCTTGTACATGGCAACACTAGTTACCACTAGCGCCCTCTAGTGTCGAGTAGCAGAACTAGAAGAGTCAAGATCCTTCTAGAAATTTCGGGACCGATATGTACTCGAACATTCTAGATGTCGCTAGAGTAGAAGGTTCTGGAAACTATCTGAGGCCCTACATAAGGCCGGTATAGACCACGACAGAGTCAGTATTCTCTTGTATCGCCAATACAAGAGAATACTTTGAAGCGAAATAACTGCGAACTAAAGTGATCAGTAGTACAATTGTGTTTTATTATTAGTGTGGTTTTAAATAGTAATTAGTGTTCTGTAATTAAAGTGTCAATTTTGGTAATTCAATCGTCAGTTTTTAATTGTCTACAACCCCAAGCTCGTAACAATATTTTATCTTGTCAAGTATGATTCAAATTTGGTTGCTTTGGTGCTCTGGTGATAATGCTGCAGGAGCAGGTCCGCTGACAGGAGGAACAGGCCCGTCGATTGGAAGAGCAGCTGCAGCGCGGTATGGAAGAGCAGATGCTCCTCAGGAAGGACCTTCACGCTACCTTCGGGAAAGAGATAAGGGAGGTGAAGGATAGGGTTGCTCAACATGACAACCGCCTTTCGCAATCTGAAACCCGAATCGACCCAGTGAACAATCGGGTTGACAACGTGATGGCTGACGTGAAGAAAACGCTGGACGACGTCAAACTTGGGAATGGAATTACAGCTCCCGTGGTGGCTAAAACACCTTCGCTACGTGAATTCAAAGTGCCACCGTTTGACGGGACTTCTTCCTGGTCGGCCTACAAAATCCAATTCGAGGCTGTCATGAAGGCCAACGGCGGGAATAAAAGTCAGGCAATGACTGCTCTCACCCTAGGCCTGCGCGACCAGGCCTTAACCGTTCTGGAAGCTCTCGATAAGGAAGTGACTTACGAGCAGCTCCTTGAGGCGTTGGAGGCAAGATATGGCGACGCTCACCTGGAACACCTCTTTCGTGCGCAGCTCAAAGATCGCGTGCAATGCAGCAACGAAAACCTGCAGCAGTGGGCCCTTGAGGTGGAGAACCTGGTTCGGAAAGCATACCAGTCTGTACCTGAGCTCATTGTAGGGAACCTGGTGCAGACATTCATCGACGGCATCCGCGACCTTGAAGTCAGAGCTGCTGTGAGGCTCGGGCACCACGAGACGCTTAAGGACGAGTTGGCCCATGCACTAGAGGTGGAAGTCGTGGGGCAGGATCATCGTTCCCATCGCGTCAGGGAGGTTTCAGCAGCTACAGTTCACGGCCGCCATAAAGGATACAACCCTAGGTGCTACGGCTGTGGGGAAAGGGGCCGTCTTCAATCCAGCTACCCTAAGCGAACTGTAGAAAGGGAAGGTGATCGATCTCGAGAGCGTGTTGTAGCTAACAGCACCGCTCAGCAGCAGCAGGGAAACTGGCGGATGCTGACTGATGTTAAAAGAGCCCCAAGGATTTCGATCTCATAAACCCATGATAGGAATAGCCTAATCATCAAGGGTGAAGTCAACGGAACACCATAGACACTGGAGCCACTCGCACGGTTGTCAGTTCCCAACTTATAAGTCAGTTCCTTGGGGACTCCGCATACAACCGAGAACGCATTAATTTGGTGACAGCCTCCGGTCAGCGCATACCTGTCCGTGGAGAGGAGGTGGAGTTGAAGCTAGGCAACATGATCTACTTGCATAATGTCATCGTGGTTGATATAATGGATGACTGCATCCTGGGCCTAGACTTTATGAGGAAGAATTGTTGTGAGATCGACGTTAAGCAAGGTGTTTTGAAATGTGGAGAAGAGGAACTTTTTGTGGAAGGGGCGTTACCAGGGAATGTGTACAGCCTTAAGAAGATTGCGTGTCATCGATTCTTGGCAAGGGATAGCTGTCCTATCCCTAGCCAAGAATCGATGACACGCCGGACATGCTTACAGGAGTAATGTGGTTTAGTAAGCTGGACCTGAAATGTGGCTACGGAGGCTAAGGAGAAAACTGCATTCTCGAAAGGAAAAGGTCTTCCTTTCGAATTCGTCGGAATTGCTTGCTGTGGTAAAGTCCTTGCAGGATTTTAGCAAATGTCTTCTGGGGCGGAAATTTCACTTACGAACGGACCATGCTGCACTGAAATGGCTATTACAATTCAAAAATCCAGAAGCACAAGTTGCGAGATGGATTGAACTACTGCAGGAATACGACTTTGTGATCGAACATCGCAGTGGGAAATCTCATGGCAATGCAGATGCATTGTTAAGAAGACCTTGCCCTGAAGATTGCAAGTATTGTACTAGGCAAAAGGGTAAGGAAGTGGTTTCTGTGAGGATGCTCAGGACAGACCAGCTCAACAATGAGTGGAAGGACAGCCTACAACATGCACAGCAGGAAGATTCGGACCTTAAGCCGATTCTGGAATGAATGAAGGCCAGTGCTCCTAAGCCACAAGTGGAGCGACGTCTCAGCGATGAGTTCGACCACGAAAAGCTGTTGGGCCCAATCGGACCGCTTGCTGATTCAGGATGGAGTCCTTTGCCGTAAATGGGAAAATGGTCGGGGAGACAGTTGTCATTTGCAAATGACAATCATTTGCAAATGACAACTGTCATTTGCAAATGATTGTCATGAACATCCGGTACTTTAGCCTAAGGCTAAAGTACCGGATGTTCTACAGCTGTACCATAATGGTTGTTCAGGAGGCCACCTGGAAGTTAAACAGTTAACAGTGGTAGAGCCACGCGGCAGCTTTTGCTGTCGCACGGATGGGCCGGCTCGAACCGGGGTGGTACCACGACCTCACAGAAAACCAGCGTGAAGTAGAGGTTTACCTCTGCGTTTCGCTTGGTGAGTGCAGGTGGCCGGAGGCCCTTTTTACTGGAAATGAGGCATTCCATCTTAGTCCTCACGGGTGACAACGCATCTACATTTTTATTTGTAACAGAGGATAGATGTAGATATCTATGGGCCGCAGCAACCACTTACCATCAGGTGGACTGCGTGCTCGTTTGTCACCCTTATCCTATAAAAAAAAAAAACGAACTCTACTGAAGATCCGAGAACGGTTTTACTGGGTCCACTGTCGTGATGATGTCGACGACTGGTGCCGCAAATGTATAAGTTGTGCGGCTGTAAAGGGACCTCAAACTCGTAGTAGAGGCATATTGAAATTGGGAGAGGATAGCCATTGATGTTACGGGGCTGTTTCCGGAAAGTGAAAATGGTTACAAGTATTTCATGGTTGTGATGGATTACTTCACTAAGTGGCCAGAAGTCTTCGCCATTCCAAATTTAGAAGCTTCAACAGTTGCAGATAAACTAGTTCATGAAATCTTCTGTTGTTTTGGAGTACCTTTAGAGATTCACAGCGATCAAGGAAGGAATTTTGAGTCTCAAATATTCCAGGAAACTTGCCAAGTTATGGGTACTCATAAAACAAGAACAACTTCTTACCACCCACAATCTGACGGAATGGTAGAACGATTTAATCAGACATTGGAGAGGTACCTAGCAAAAGTTGTGGAAAAACGGCAACGAGACTGGGACAGGCACATACAGCCATTTTTGTTGTCATATCGAAGCGCTGTTCACGAAAGTACATCAGTGACACCAGCTTTCGCAAACTTTGGGAGAGAATTAAGGCTGCCTGCAGACCTGATTACCGGAATACCACCTGATGCCCCACGCAATATAACCGATTATGCAAATGACTTGCGGAACAAAATGAATGACATTTATGAGCACGTCAGACAGTCGGGCCAGCAAACGTCTGACAAGATGAAAATGCGGTATGACCGCAAAATGAACAACAAGGGGTTTGACGAAGGTTCACTAGTGTGGTTACACAATCCAGTTCGCAGCAAATGGAAATCTCCTAAGCTTCAAGCTAAATGGGACGGACCGTACCGAATTGTGACAAGGATCAATGACGTAACCTACCGGATATAGAAAGGTGCCATAGGTACTCCTAAGATCGTCCATGTGGATCGACTGGCGCGTTATTATGGGGCCAATAATGCTCGGGACGAGCATGTCTTAGGAGGGGGCAGTGTTGCGCGCCACTATTAATGTCTTGTACATGGCAACACTAGTTACCACTAGCGCCCTCTAGTGTCGAGTAGCAGAACTAGGAGAGTCAAGATCCTTCTAGAAATTTTGGGACCGATATGTACTCGTACATTCTAGATGTCGCTACAGTAGAAGGTTCTGGAAACTATCTGAGGCCCTATATAAGGCCGGTGTAGACCACGACCGACTCAGTATTGAATTGGCGATACAAGAGAATACTTCGAAGCGAAATAACTGCAAACTAACTTTAGTTCACAAACACAATTGTACTACTGATCACTTGATCAGTAGTACAATTGTGTTTTATTATTATTGTGGTTTTGAATAGTAATTAGTGTTCTGTAATTAAAGTGTCAATTTTGGTAATTCAATCGGCAGTTTTTAATTGTCAAGTATGATTCAAATTTGGTTTTTCGAATATTTTGTATTTCTACAGCGATCTATAATGCTGCAAACAAGCGAGATCCACTCACGACGGCGACCGAGGCCGGAATAACGGATGGCGGAGTGAAGCAAAGTGTATTTAGTAAAATTAATTATTACAAAACTGCCTAAAACACTAAAAATTTTGTGATTTCTTAACCGAAAAAATTAATTACAATTTAACAAAACAAAATTAAACTGTCATTTACATTGCCATTGCTCTCATTATGTCATGTGGGAAGCCATGGCAATGTAATCATTTACCTAGCACTTAAAAAGCTCGTAATGTTGGAATCTACGCAGAATGAGCTTACAGTACTTGAAGTCTTGAAGATTAAGCTTGGGGTTTGGATTTTATTTTATTTTTTTATACAATATGGGTGACAAACGAGCACACAGTCCACCTGATGGTAAGTGGTTGCTGTGGCCCATAGACATCTACATCTATCCTCGTTTGCGAATCAAAATGGATTTGCGTTGTCAGCCGTGAGGACTAACATGGAATGCCTCTTTTCCTGTAAAAAGGGGCTCCGCTTCTCTACATTAAATGACAAACTGATTTATAAGTCGGTACGTCTCACTACTGTGCATAGCGTAGGTAATGAGGAGTACCTATAGTGTTTTGTGGGCAGAAAAGAGTAGATATGCCGCAAAGCTTCAACGGTTTTTACATTTCCACGACTTTTTAAGTACTCAGATGTTTAGGTTTCCCCCACGAAGTTATTCACTTCACCGGTAACGTACACGTGGTAAGTCAGTACTTAAAATTTCCCATTACAGATTTTTTATTTTCCTCAAGGAAATCGTACACGTTTTGCTCCCTTGCAGTGATGAAATCTTACGGCGAGCTACACAGCTCTCGTATTTGTTTAAATAAAATTCATAAAAACTGAAACAAAACTTTTGCACGACTGTTGACCAAATCAGTTTTATGTACAGTTAACACATGTGTTGTGTACTATTACATTAAAACTTTGAAAGCCAAAACTATACTATCTAGTAATATCAGCGATAGAAGGTAGGAAAGACCCACCCCCAAAGCCGCGAAAATTGATTTATTGGGGAAATAAGGCATGGTGTTGATTCTGTAAAAAATATGCCACCAGCGCTGATAGTCTCTAGTCATTGATTTGATCAAGCTATATTATCATGACTAGTCAACAAACAGTGTTAAATATCATGAAATACAACAAATTCACGAAATAATAATTGTTCGCTCCAAACGCTGTCAAGAATCGACGCCAGATGTCGCTCGGCTCTGGGAGATACCGGTTTGAAGTTCGGCCGAGCGTAGCAAGTGGCGCGTGGGTCGCGAGCGAAAGGGGAGTCGTCTGCCAGCTGTGCTAATGTCTGTACGCTGTCAATTTTGTGCGGGAACCGCGGAATAGTTAGGGCGTCTAGTAAATATCCTGTCTAGGGTTTATAACGCGCATTCCCTGTTTGGATAGCCTTTCCCGGGACTTATTGGGTCCGACTCAGAATATATGTGTAAGTGCATTCGACAATATTAGCTAGTGCGGCCTCTGATATTCTAGAACTAACTGTTGCTACGCGAAACGGTCGTGACCTTTGATCCGTAAACTCCGTGTGCGTTTTGTGCGTTAACTTATACCCAGCGATAGTTAGTGGCTTCTGTAAGTTAGTTAATCGTACGATAGAGTTAATTGACTGTCATCGTGACGAAAGAGGAAAGTGACTGTGGACAACCTCGGAAGCCTCAAGTTGGAGCGGTGTCGACGCTCGGGCTGCTGCCGACGGCCAAGGTCTAGGTTCAATCACCATCAGTCACACCCAGATACACATCACATCACTTATTTCCCTTTCACTACACAACCACATGTGACCTGACCGACTCCGGAGGGACCAGTCACCTTGGATATAGGTAAGTAAGCTTCGCATAATTCCTCTGCCGGTTGACTGGCCGTAGTATAGAACGCTCCCCCATATATTTAGTGTAATTAGAGAGATTCCACGTGGCCACACTGAGGCCCGACCTACGTCTGCTCGGGAAGTCTTCAGCTCATGGGCCCCTGGGGATTTGACCCTTTAAGGGAGCAGCCGTAGGCCGTAACAATAATATTACCTACTTTATGATAAAAATATCTGATCAAATTATAAGGATAATGAATGTTTTGCAATAATTGCAGGCAGACTAATTTTAATTAGTTTACATATTATAGATTAGTAATTTAACTAAAAACCATATTATTCATAATAACGTCGCTCGTCCTATAAATCTAGTGTTTGTTAAATTTAGTTTGCACTCCTTTTGTACAAACTTTATTAGACTTCATATCCATTAATAACATTAAACTGTAGTACTTTTGCCACTTACCTATATCCATTTTATTATATAAGCAATAATTTTGTAAAACTATTATGCGAAAATAACTACTTAAGGTGAAAGCTCCAGGGTGGCCCCCGAAATTCAAATTTTCTTGCGTTTTTTGAAATTTGCAGGTCAGGGTCAGGTTGTATGTTTAATAAAATAAGATTCGCGACCGCAACGAGTATGTTTTTACAGAATTATTATTATTAAAGTCACCAATACAACCCTCTAAGTTCATATAATCCCTTTGAATGAGTTTTTCTGGAAATAGCCGTACAATGAGATTATACGAACATAGACGGTTGTATTGATGGTTATAATGATTATAATTCCGTAAATACATATTCGTTACGGTCGCTAATCATATTTTGTTAAACATACGAGTACAACCTGACATTGACCTACAAATTGCAAAAAACGTAAGAAATTTTGAATTTCGCGGGTTACCCTGGTGCTTCCACCTTAAGACTACAGTCTTCAGCGTCCTTGAGCGTGGGAACTTCTAATAGAACACTTACATTGATATTTTCTAGCCACACAGACGCATCTCGCAATGTTAGTATACGCACCGTGGACATGAATAAATTACTTTTAGTGTTTTGCA